AATGAAAAGGAAACGCTCCTACACTGTTGGTAGGAATGTAAATTAGTACAGCCACTATGCAGAACACTGTGGAGGTTCCCCAAAGACCTACAAATAGAACTACCGTATGACCCAGCAATTCCACTCCTGGGTATCTACCCAAAGGACAGGAAAATGCTCAGTTGAAACAAAGCTTGTATATCAATGTTTTTTGCAGCATCATTCATAATTGCTAAGATACAGAACTAACCCAAATGTTCAAGAACAGATGAATGGATTGAAAAAGTGTAGAACATATACACTATGGAATACTACTTAGCCATAAAAAAAAGACCTTGGCATTTGGTAGAAAGTGGACAAATATGGAAGATTTACTGCTAAGCAAAGCAATTCAGACTATGAAAGAGAGGCACTGTATGTCCCCACTCAATATATCCTGAATGTCGGCACTCTATGGCAGAAACTGAACGACTGGAAGGTATAAAACATGGAAAGAAGTGATGATACTGGAGACATTCTGGGAGGAGGGTCGGAAATGGGGAAGCGTTAGAAGGAGAGAATCAAGGGGCAGAAGAAAGAAGCAAAGCATGTAAAGGGCCAAAATGGAGAGAAATCTGTTAAATATAATGTGCATGATAATATCTTTGACTGACCCAATAGACACTGTATTCATGATGGGAAAATTCCTTTGGTATGCTGTAATGATACACAGTCATTGAATCCTAAAGTTAATAAATAATAATAATAATAATAATAATGTTTATGGAAAGGCATATGCATGGATTTCATTTTTTCTCATTTTTTTTGTGTTTAGTTCATTTTTTTCCCACAGATTTTTGGAGTCTTTTCATACATATAAGTTTATGGGGATTGCAAGTAAAATGCATTTATTCCAGTGAGTCACAAATCACAACAAGTTTGAAAAACATCAATCTCATTCTTTTTTTCTTTTTTTAAGAGAGATTTTTTGCTATAGGGTGCATGCACTCACTAGAGAGACAGAGAGACAGAAAGCAAGAAATCACCCCCCCAGGGAGGATGGCCCAATTCCTCTTCTGTTGTCCTCATAGGGCCCTGGGTATGCACACACATGTGCCCAACATGACGTGGTTTGTTTTGTTTTTTTTTTTGGAGAGGTTTTTGCTGTAGGGCACGTGCGCTCACCAGACAGACAGAGAGAGACAGAGAGACAGAAAGCGAGAAATCACCCCCCCAGAGGGGATGGCCACGCCGCAATCCCTTTTCCTCCATTCTCCTCTCAGGATCTTGGGCATGCACGCACACGCGCCTGGTGTGAGTTTTAAGTCACTGGGTCCGGGACACAAACTGCAATCAACTACGTGGGAGGTCCAGCGACATAGCCATTACGCTAACTGCTGGTCCCCCGATGTGAGTTTTAAGGCACTGGGTCTAGGACTTGAACCACGGTTGGCTACGTGGGAGTCCAGTGACGTAACTATTATGCCATCTGCTGGTCCTAACACCAATCCCCTTCTTTCATGTGGCCAATAGGAAGCTGATGCACAGAAGAGTAAAGCAAGTTTTATGAGGGCCACACAGCTGGACAGCTCCTCCTGTCCCCTACCTCAGTGCTCTGCCCACTGCAGCCTGCAGTTCTCTGGTTCTACGCAGAGAACGTCTTGGGAACAGGACTGGCCAGAAAGCTCAGTGGACTTCCAGTCCCACAAGAGCCTCTCAGCAGGGACTGGGCCTTGATCCGCTCACCCAGGGCAGGTGTGGCTGGCAGGGATGTTGACTGAGAAGGGGCGTGGAGGGGCCGGAACCTTTGGCTGAAGTAGTTTTGCACACGCAGACAAGAGAGGCCTTGACTTTTCTCTCAAGGACTTTGAAAACAATTGCTCACTTAGGGCAGTGGCACTGATAGGCCTCTTGCAGATGGGTGTGCAGGCTGAGAGCTCTCCAGTGAGGCAGGGCATTCATCGCTCCCTGCAGAGTGCAGGCCAGCAGAGGAGGCCTTGCAGAAGGGTCCCCAGGCCCTCCACTTTGGCTGCAAGTACCTTCCTCCTGGGAGGGGCCGCCTGACTCTACGGCTCCTCCAGGTTACCACTGTCAGAGCGCAGTGAGGGCGAGGGGTCAGAAGCTAATCCAGCCCCTCATGGTACAGAGAGCCCACGAGAGCAAGGCCCCGAGCCTGCTGGCAGCAAAGCCATCCGTGACCCAGATCCAGATTCCCCGATTCCCAGCCCCCCACTTCCCGAGTCTGCACGGAAGCACCCGGATGTATGGTGGAAATGCAGACGGGGGAGGCTGAGGCACGGCCTGGCTTCTGCACCCTGGCGTGTTCCGGTGGTGAGAAGGGGCTGCTTCGCGGACCACACTTGGAGCAAGCCTTGACACCATGTCGTCCGGAAGGGTGGGGGATCCCGAACTTCGCCGTGGATCCTAGGAAGGCACAAACTCTCACCTGCACCCAGACAAGTCCTCTACGACCCACAAAGACACCTACGTAAAGTAATCGTCACTCCTCTTTTGACATTCACTGGACACTCACACGCCAGCACGGCCCCAGTACTCACGTGCATGATCACGTCTAATCCTTACAGCTCTGAGGTGGCTACTATTACCGTCCTTTGTTTTCCCCCCAAGGTTTTTTGCCCAAGGGCATGTGAGCTCACTCGAGAGAGATGGAGAGAGACAGTGAGAGGGAAAGTGAGATCTCACCCCCTGAGGGGATGGCCACATTTCAATCCCTCCTCCTCCTGAGATTTTGGGCACTCATACCAAACATGCCTAGCGTGATTTTTAAGCTGCCAGGTCTGGGACTTGAACTGCCATCGGCCATGTGGGAGTCCAGCACCTTAACCACCATGCCACCTGCTGGCCCCTTACTAACCCTTCTCATAGATAAGGAAGCTGAGACTCAGAGAGATTAAGTAGCGTAGCCCAAGTCACACAGCTAGCAAGTGGCAGAATCATGATCCAAACTCAGCTCTGAGTCCACGGCTTAACCAGCTAGAGACCACACAGCAGGGTGGCCACCTTTCCTTCTCTGCTCCTTGGGAGCCTCTCCCCAAGGAGGCTCTTAACAGTCCTGCAGCTAAACCCCATTTCCTTCAGCACAGCGTGGCCTCCACTGAGTTTCAAGGTCCATCCGTCTTTCCCCGAGACCTGTATTTACCCGCCGAGTTATTTTGGAGTTGATGTCAGGGAGGCACAAGATGAAGAGGAGCTGGGGCTCAGGGAAATGTGTAGGGAGAGGGTCTACACAGCAAGACGCCTAGGGATCTCTTTTAATTCAGCGCTGACGTGAATTCTCTAAGACCGCTCGAGCTTAGGTTCTCCTACCCAGGAGACGGTGCCGGGCACCACCCGGCCTTGCTGGAAGCATCCAGACGGAGGGGCAAGTGGCCTGTGGAATCACAGCACCATGAAGCCCTTGAGGATTCCTACTGAAAACGGGCCACTTCCTGGTGTGGACAAGCGTGCATGGCAGAGGGACCAGGGGTTCGGGGCTGCTCCAAGGTCACCAAATCCCAGCCCTATGCCCCAGCCTCCCCCCAGGGTTGTGAGCCGTCCTTGGTCTCACCCCCTCGGGTTCCACAGAACGCCAGCTCGCTGCTGTCAGCACGGGGAGTGACAGGAGCAAGCACGGGGCCTGCAGCCACACGTTAATCCTCTTTGGGGGGATCAGGGTCGATTGGGCTGGCCCCCAGTTTGGCACTACCCCCGCCAGTGCTGACTACAGGGTACTCCTGTACCCTGAAGCGACCTCGTGCAGAAAGAGGGCAGCGGAAGAGATGTGGGACCACGATGGGAGAGAGCGGGCGGGGGAAGGACACTCGTCGGGCTGTGGACCGCCTTGCAGAAAAGCCACTCCTGCAAAGTGAGGGCTGACCCGCAGTTGGCAAGGAGGTCCGTGTGCTGGACCATGCCATCCGCAGGTGGGCAGTGTGCTTTCTCCTTCCGGCCCTGGGCACTGGGCTGGCTCACTGAGTCCTCCCTCTGCCACTTGCAAGCTGTGTCCTCTGGGCATGTCACCTAATCTCTCAGTGCCTCAGTGTCACCTGTGAAGTGTAGACGGTAATCAGTAGCCCCTACCTGTAAGGGCTGTCGTGGGAATTAAGAGTGAGTGCGTACAGTCTCTAGAGCAGTCCCTCACATGTGAGCGTGTAAAGAGATGAGTGAGGGCTGAAAGCAGTTCAAGTCCTGGGCTTGGCGGCTTGCAAATCAGGCTGGGTACGTGCATGTGCGTGCCAAAAGTCCCGAGAGGAGAAAGAAGGGGCAGAGGTGTGGCCATCCCTCCCCCGGGACGGTAATTTCTCACTTTCCCTCTCACTGCCTCCTGTGGACCGCCTTGCAGAAAAGCCACTCCTGCAAAGTGAGGGCTGACCCGCAGTTGGCAAGGAGGTCCGTGTGCTGGACCATGCCATCCGCAGGTGGGCAGTGTGCTTTCTCCTTCCGGCCCTGGGCACTGGGCTGGCTCACTGAGTCCTCCCTCTGCCACTTGCAAGCTGTGTCCTCTGGGCATGTCACCTAATCTCTCAGTGCCTCAGTGTCACCTGTGAAGTGTAGACGGTAATCAGTAGCCCCTACCTGTAAGGGCTGTCGTGGGAATTAAGAGTGAGTGCGTACAGTCTCTAGAGCAGTCCCTCACATGTGAGCGTGTAAAGAGATGAGTGAGGGCTGAAAGCAGTTCAAGTCCTGGGCTTGGCGGCTTGCAAATCAGGCTGGGTACGTGCATGTGCGTGCCAAAAGTCCCGAGAGGAGAAAGAAGGGGCAGAGGTGTGGCCATCCCTCCCCCGGGACGGTAATTTCTCACTTTCCCTCTCACTGCCTCTGTCTCTCTTTGACGAGTACACATCCCCTATGATAAACACCTAAAAATAAATCAATACAATAAAAGAAACAAGCAGATTCATTACAGCACCTGCTGGCCCAGCCCCCACTCTGCAGGCAGGGAGAAGGAGCCTGGCCGACGCTGTGGGAGGACAGGGGTGAGTGGGGCCGTGTTCTGCTTTCTCACGAGTGGGTACACACAGTGGCTGAGACCGCGTACCCACCTTTTCAGGGCACACTCCAGCTCGCTCTTCTCCTTGTGGGCTTCTTGGAGCTGGGAGATGATCCTGGTCAGAAAGTCCTCGAAGTTGGACAGTAAGTGAGGCTCGTCCTTCTTCAGCTGCAGCCAGAGTTGCTTAACGTCGTTTTCGCTGCAAGAGGAAGGGGCATTACCGTGCCGCAAGGAAATGGACTTAACGGATGTACAGGGGTGCCCGGAAAGGAAGGAGCAGCGGGAGGCAGCAGCAGACCCCTAGGGAGGACGGCAGCTGTAGGTGCCAGGCGCTCGTGGTGTGAGAGGTGCTCATGTCACCTGGCAGTGGCTCTCCAGGCAGGCGCTGCTACAACCCCACTTCCGGATGAGGCTCGATGAGCTCAGGGCACTTGGCTGGTAAACGGTGGAGCCGGGGCTCAAACTCAGGGCTGTCCGGCCCCCATGTCAGCCTTTTCCACCCCTTTCATGGTGGCCTGAACATCACAGCGATGTGCCCTGAGCATCTTCTAATGCCAGGAGGGAGAGATGGACGGGAACCCAGGGTGGGTAAGACTGACCAGGTGGAGTTACAGGAGAGAGCTTGTCACTCCCGGAAAGGTGGTCCTCACAGCTGAGAGGTGAAGCAGGCCGTGGATGGATGGCAGAGGGCAGTCGTCACTGCAGGGAGGCAAGGAGAATCCGCACCACCCCACTGGAGCCTGGTGGCAAGCAAATGACTGGCAGGCAGGAGGAGGGGAGGAGTGAGCCTGAAAACGTGGGCACACAGGGAGAAAGCAGGCAGTCGGCAGGCTCGACGCAGGCAGAGGAGTAGAGACCTGCCCAGAAACAGGCCCATGGCATGATGGACACAGCGCAGCAGAGACATGCGACATGATGCTGACCACTGAGGGGAGCACGGGGGAGAGCCACGTGCCACGGACGTGTCCTCCCTCTCCGGAGACACTCAGACATCTCCAACCATTGACCTAGCTAAGGCAAAGGTAGGTCCGGTCTGTTCTCCACTAAGTTCCAAACCAGTACGACCCACGGGTAGCTGTGACCGAGAGCCCTCAGGAGACAGTAAAACCCTTTGTGCTGTGCGACAGAGCATGCTTGGGGGATTTTCCTGATGAGTGGGATTCCTAGTGCCGCGTTAGCAACGTCCTAGGACTCTGATTTGCTGTCTGTGCCCAGCAGAGAAGAGGCCCGCTGAGATGAACCCAGCTCTGGCCAGTCATTCGATCATCTGTGCAATCCCCCTCCCTCCTCCTTTCATCCTTCCCTTCTCCCTTCCATCCTTTCTTTCTGTCACCCCAGCTAACCCTCACCTACTCACTTAGACCCTCGTCCACCCACCCACCTGCTCCCCTGTCCACACGAGAGGTTAGCACCGTCTGGTACAGACCTAGTGCTATACGATGATGCGCCGTACCTGGGAAACGCGGGCAAGGGAGGTGAGAAGCCCGTTTCCCAGAACGAGGCCCACTGTCCCCACAGAACGCACGGTAGGTGTCCAGCTCATTACAGACAAGATGTAGATGGGGACAAGGGCTCAGAGGCGAAAGGGTCTCAGAGACCCCGTGGCAGGTTGCTCCGGTGAGACGGATATACCCATATGTTGCAATTCATATTTTGAAATTCCAACCCTCAAGATTGGAGATGGGGCTTCCAGGGGTGGTCAGACCACGAAGGCAGAGCCTCATGTATGGGATTAGCGTCCCTGATGAAAGAGGCCCAAGGGAGCTCCTTCCCCCTTCCCACATAGCTGGGGAGACCAGCTCTGAACAGACCTCCCCAGATGTGCAGCCTGTTGCCACTCAATCTCGGACTGCCCGTCCCCCTGTGAGAAGTACGTTCCTGTTACTTAGAAGTCACCCAGCCTATGGCTGTCCTAGCAAGCCAAACGCACTGAGGCCCTCCCTCATGAAGAAAACGTCTTAGAAAATCAAGGTCTACCTTGCTCTCCTAAGTCTTTTTTTTAAAGAGAGATTTTTGCTATAGCATGCATGTGCTTGCCAGAGAGACAGAGACAGAAAGTGAGAAATCACCTCCCAGGGGTATGAGCACACTGCAATCCCTTCTCCTCCCATTCTTCTCTTGGGAATTTGGGCACGCAAGCACACACCTCCTGGTGTGAGTTTTAAGCCACTGGGTCTGGGACCTGAACTGTGGTCAACTATGTGGGAGTCCAGTGACGTAACCATTACACCATCTGCTGGTCCCTCTAAGTCTATCTCTCCACCTCTACCAGCTTCCCAGGGCAGCCCAGCAGAGCAGCTGGTTGGGTCAAAGCTCTTAGTGAGAGTGGCAGACATTCCTGACCCTCCTCTGAAACTCGCTGAACGCCGTAGGCATGGCCACAGCACTTCACCTCAGATCGCTGGAGAAGGAACAAGTCTTCTGACATTTGATGACAAAGAAGCTAACGCCCACTAAGCTGCCAGAGTCCTGTGCCAATCAGACCACCAAGAAAATGTGGAATCCAGGTGCCCAGCCTACCACTTTTGGACCACATGGAGGTTACCTCTAATGGAAGTGTGTAGGGCTGGCCGGAAGGATTCTGGGAGGCCAGTCAACCCATCTCCATGCTACGAGAATGACATTTTGGTGAGCAAAATCTTGAAAGACCTCCAAGTTCTTCATGGCCTCCTCAGTTTACCTTCTGGAGTCCCTGGTTATGAGCATTTCCCTCATGTGCAACTTACGCCCCCTTCAGTGGGGATGAAAGCTGCTGCAGATCGGTGTTAGGGACCACTCTCTCATAGACCTCTCCAAAGCCGTCCCTTCTCCAGGATGTCTCATCTGGGCTCAGCTCCACACAGGCCTTTGATGCAGGTCCTCGGAGTAACAGCTGATGCACTCCGATTGGAGAGCCCTGCCAGGCAGGCGGCTGCCCTGGCATGAGGGTAGGTGGGACAGCCCCTCTCTCCCACTGCCTGGGCTCGCCCACCCTGCCCCTCCTCCCCTCCTCCAGCTTCACAGTCACCCGCAGCAGTCACTGAGCTCTGGCCTAGTCCTTGGAGCCAGGTGTCTGACCCCAGGCGGCCCCCACCCCCTCCCCATCTCTACCCTATGCTGATCCAGGCACACCAGGCTAAGCCGCAGCTGAGCTGCTGCTGACACTGACACTGCTGCTGGGGTCGGTTCACTTTCTGTCTAGAGCCTTCCGCCAGGCTCTCTCCTAGGCCCAGACTGTCTCCTTTTTACCTTGAACACACATACATGTGTGTGTGAGAGAGACAGAGAGAGAGAGAGATTCTTTTCAGAGGGCTCACTCCATTGCGCACTAGCTGGAACACAGGCGCACCCCTGTGCCTGGCTCCTTAGAGAGGGTCTCGCTACGTGGCCCACACTGCCACAAGCTCATGCTCCACCTGCCTCAGCCTCCCAAGAAGCTGTGGCCACAGGCATATGCCGCTGCTTTGGCTTCTGGGTGCACCAGGAATGGAGGCTCAGCCCCTAGAGTGCAGAGCCCAGCAAGCGGTCCTGCAGCTGGGCCTCGCCGGCCTTCTCAATTCCGACGCAGTCTATCACGCCGTTCTCTAAAAAAGCATAGAGCAATGGTGTCCACGTTGTGTGCACGGCCCTTCCCAGGGCTCCCTGGTGGCCATTTTCCACCGTAGTCCCTTTTCTTTCTAAGCTCGGAAAACACCAGCTCCAACCTTCTGACTTCCCACCTGCGTAAAACACATGCCCAACCCAGCACATGGAGACCCAGAGTGAAAAGGCTACAGGCGTGAGAAAAGGGGCCAGAGGTATCATAGGCCTGCCGTCCGGTTTCTACGAGCTATGACATCAGCTTTTTTTTTTTTTTTTTTTGCTAGAGGACACATGACTTTTTGCACTTGTCGGAGAGAGACAGAGAAAGAGAGACAGAGAGAAGGAGAGTGAAAGCACCCCCAGCAAGGTTGGCCATACCACAGTCCTTTCTCTTCCATTGTCCTCTCGGGATTTTGGGTGTGCACACGTGTCTGGCATGTTTTCCAACAGTCCCAGGTCCGGGGCTCAAACCGTGAACTCAGCCATATGAGATCAAGCTACCTTCACCACCACATCGGCTGGCCTAACATCACATTTTATTATTTTATTTAATTCTATCTTGTTCAACTCTTACTTTACTTGAAATGTCAGGGCCACGTGTCTCTCTATCCGAAAGCACTTTTGGAGAAAAAGAAATTGTGGGGTTTTATTTATTTATTTATTTTTAATACTTTCCAGCCCATCTAAAGTTTTCAGCTGAACTACCGAGTAGCCAAGTGGTGGGCTGTCAAAGCTGATTCATGTTTCACCTTGTCTCTGGAAAAGGTTTGGTTTGCTCTGGAATATAACATGTAGACATGTTCCACCACGTGGAGCCTCTGCCGGGAAGGCACCCAGGGGTGGGGTAGCTGGGATGAACGTAGCCTGGAGGCCCTGGGGCCCAGGCTGGCTCTGCGGTGAGGTGAAAATGCTGCTGAGCGATGGGGGACCGGCCAGATGGTCAGAACCCTAGGGCACACTCACTGGGAAGCCCCGAGGGCAGGCACGGACTGCGGACAGTGAGCAGCCCTGCGGAGCAGGGTTTGGCCAAGAAACGTGATGATATCGCACAGCCGGAAGTGAGGAGAGCAGGGGCTGCGGAGAAAGGCCAGCAGGAAACCACGTGAGAGGCAGAGGCGGCCTGCAGGGGGCAGGTGAAGAGGCCTCTCCTTGCCTAGGCTTCGACCCCCAGCCCCTGTCATCACTTACTCTTCCAAAACTCTCCTGGCTCCGAGCTCCTCCATCAGCACCTGGAACTGAGCCTCCTCGTCCTCGCCCATGCTTCCCAGCTCCTCGTCCCCTTGGGACTGGTACACCTTCTCCTCTTGGCGCTGGGCCACCTGCTCACCTGCGTCTTCCTGACTCAGGTAACTCTGGCTGAAGAAATGACCTGGGGACGCAGGCATGGGGTCTGAGTTAGACAAGACTCGTCCAGGAGGACCGTATCTTCTCGGTTGCCAGGAGTCACTCAAGGTCCATCTGAGAGAAGAGAAAGGGGGCCCCCGAGAGTGAAGCTCCACGGACGGCACGCCCAGACGTATGTCCTTCCACTCCCATAAGCAGAGGCGCCAGGACCTGGGAGAAGCAGAAAGCATGGCAGGTACAATGGCGCTCTGTGCTGCTTGACCTTTAAAATCTGTCCTAGGGTTGGGGCTGGCAGGCATGGTGGTTAGAGCGCTGGACTCCCACATGGCTGACCACGTTTTGAGTTCTGGACCTGGTGGCTGGCTTTCTCATGTTCCCTCTCTGTTTCTCTCTGGTCAAATTAAAATAATAATAATAATAACAACAATAATAAATAATATTATGACCTAGAGGGGTCAGCAGGTGGCACAGAGGTTAAGGCCACTGGACTCCCACATGGCCAATCATAGTTTGAACCCGGACCTGGAGGCTTGAAATTCATACTGAACATGGGTGTGGACATGCCCCCAGATCACAGCAGAAGAATGGAGGAGGAGGGACTGTCGCATGGCCATCCCCTCTGGGTCGGGTGTGTGTGATTTTTCACTTTCTTTCTCACTGTCTCTCTCTACAGGGAGTACATGTGCCCTACGGCAAAAGCCTCAAAGTAAGAACCCTGGCTTAGAGCACGCTTCTCCTTGGCTGCTCCTGGCACAGGCCCTCCCGCCATGGCGCTCCAGCAGCCGGGATGTCAGAGCCCCACGTCGCCGTCCTGGCCACCCCACCGCTAGCTTTGTTATACTCCACGTGTGCACGTTACTTTCTCCATACTCACAGCGCCTGCTACTGCGCAATCTCCCTTATCCTTCCAGCTCAGCTATAAACTCCTGAAGGTCAGGGAAGGTATCCGACACTTTCAGGAAAAACACAAGGCCCTGGCTGAGGCAGGCGTGCGGTAGACTCACCTGCTGGCTCACCTGATCTGACGGCTGCCTAATCTCTTTATCTTGTTCATGGAGTTCCGTTCTCCTTCCTCCTGGTTACCTTGAGTGATAGGTCTAGTCAAGCCCTCCAGAACTCCTCAGAGAGCCGGCATCCCCCACCTGGAAGGCTTGGCCAGACTTGGCTGGAATGAGCCATCCACTCATCCCGTTTTTTTGTCTAACGAGGTAGAAAAGGAGAGGCTGGATTTTCATCACAGCTCCCCCTAGCATGTCATGCCTTCTGTCGGAGCTTCCACCGATCCCCTTGCCATTCTCAGGCGGGAGGGACTCAGCAGTGACAGTGCCTCTGGCCCTGAGAGAGCATTGGTCTAAGCCTCCAAGGTGGACATGGGTGAAGAGGCCCAAATAACACACAGCCTGGAACCCTCGGGCTCAGACTCGTTGCCAGGAGGCCAGGAAAGCTTATATGACATGGTCCCCAGATCTGCAAGGGACAGGGATGTCTCTTACATGGTATCTGAAGAGCCACAACCCTGGGTCCCTCAGAACTTACTAAATCCAGTAGCGAACTCCTCTGGGGTCAGAAAGCCATTGCCATCCGCATCCAGGGCATCAAACACATCCTCCAGTTCCTCCAGGGTGAGGGGCAACTCCTTCTGGAACCTCTGAAAACAATGCAGACTGTGCCGTTAGCACTCCGACAGGCACAGGCTGACCTGGGACTGCACAAGCTCCTGCCAAAAACTGCCTAGGGGTTGCCCAGTCCTGCAAAAGCCAGGATCAAGCTTCTGCAACTAGTCTGATTCCTCATCTTTCTCCACCTCTGCAGATGAGAGCAGCCTGCATTGATTGGGGGCCAGCGATGTGCTAGGGATTTATAAATAAAATTAATCATATAAATATGTATGTATATATTATGGATACGCATTTAATACTCATGACAAACCCTGGAGGTCGGCCTTACTATCCCCACTTTACAGGTGAGGTTGGAGGCTAAGTTACCTGCCCCAAAGTCATAGGCTTAGTCAGGGTCAAGTCCAAAGCTGGCACTCGGACAGCGATGAATGACCGCTATTGTTTGAATATGTCCCTCCAAAATGCCTATGTTGAGCAGCTGTCCTGGGCATAAGAGGGTAAACACTGGATCCAATTGTTCTGTTGAAAGGAGGCTTTGGGGCAGAGATTAGGATTAAGGTCAGGGGGGACATGATTGATTCCTGGTGGGGTTACAAAGAGAGTGAGACCAGGCAGGGCTCTCCTGCCCCCCATCATGTTGTGATGCAGCCTGAAGACCCTCCCCCAGAGGGGGGCCTGGATCTTAGATCTCTATGAGCTGAATAAACTCCTATTTTTATAAATGACCCAATTTCAGGTATGAGAGTGCGCGTGCGCCCCACAGACCCACTGAGCTTTCCCAGTGAGTGACTAGAGGCAGGTGCACCTGGACCTTCCTGCCCTGCCTGAGCCCTTGCCCCGTTTCCTCTGCAGGCTACCTGCCCTGCTGAGATGTGAGATCTGACCCCCGGCATGACACGCACTACTCCAAGGGCTTCCCAGATGCGAGCCCGTGTCCCAGCGCCCTAGCTCTGTATCCGGTGCCTGTGGACACACGCTGGACGCTTCAGCTCTGAGGAGATGCTGTGATGACAAACCGCTTCCCTCCCCTGAGTGCCCCAGCCCCGGCACCCCCAGTCTGTGTCCACTCCTGCCCCCTGCCGGCTGACAGCGAATACCTGATACAACAGTAATTGCCATTGGCTTACGTTATTAATCCTCAAGAGTATTTGCATTTTCAATGGGGATGGGACAGAAAGTGTGAGCCCTGCGCTGACTCCGACTGCAAAGGAGGGAAGAGCAGGGACCAGTTGATGGGAGGAGGCGCGAAGTGGCTGGGCTGTTGACGGCCCCCCATCCTACCTGCTGTGCAACGGCCCCAGGCCAGGGCCCATCTGCACAGGTGAAGCAAGCGTCCTCTTATACCCTAATAACCTAAGGCTCTGAGCGTGGACTCCCAGGGGAGTTCATTAGCTCTCAGCTGACCACCTCCTTTCCTCTCAGTTACCCAGGGGACAGCTGCACGGAATTGACAAGTGGAAGCGACTGGCAGCTGCAGACAAGGAGCACGGGGCTCGGTAGGAGGGTAGGTCTGCGCCCTCTAAATAACAGAAAGGGGCAGGCAGGTACGAAAGCCCGGAACATGACAGGCAAGACTTGGGTCCATCGCCGGCGGTCTTCCAGCAGATAAGCAGAATGCAGCAGTGTGTGCATTAAGGGAGACCACGATGCATGACACGCAGGAAGAGAAGACGGTGTGAGAGCCATTTGGAAGAACCGAATTAAATATGAACGGGCTTTTCAGAAAGGAAGGAGAGTGAGGGAGTTCGAAAGATTCTAGAAGTGCATCTACTCAGCACATAGCAGGGTCCTTGGCTTATCAACCATCCATAAATCGGCATCTCGAAGCTACAGTAGGTGAACACAAGATGAAGAAGGAGTCGTTTTGCAAACAGGAAAGGTGTTTGTTCCATTTGAAATAAAAGAGCTCGCTGCAGGTAGGGTGAAACTCTGAGCTCCTGTCATACCCAGATTCTAGTCCTTTCCTTGGGATGACCCTTCCTCCCCTTCCCGCCCTCACCTAGGACTGCAGGATCTGGTCTAAGGCATGACACCTCACTCTCCTGGAGCTAGGAATGAGCTCAGAGGACGTTCTGGAGGCCAGGGGGATTCTCAACTTGCCTTTCATCCCAACACCCTACACGTAGGGCACCGTTTCTCTTAGTGGGAGCCCGGAAAGGCTCTCTCACCTCATCCTATTTTTTTTTTCTTCTTTTTTGGGGGGAGAGATTTTCGCTATAGGGTGCGTGCGCTCGCCAGACAGACAGAGAGAGACATAGAGACAGAAAGCGAGAAATCACCCCCAGGGGGGATGGCCACGCCACAATCCCTTCTCCTCCATTCTCCTCTCGGGATCTTGGGCATGCACGCACATGCGCCCGGCGTGAGTTTAAGCCACCGGGTCCGGGACTCAAACTGTGGTCGACCACGTGGGAGTCCAGCGACATAGCCATTACGCTAACTGCTGGTCCCTCTCTTACCTCATCCTAAACATCCAAGGTCTTGGCTCTTCAGGCCTAGCTCTCCCCGGGTCCTCACAGGCTCTGATGCCGCTTAAACGGCTGCACGTGGAGCACGCCAACTCGGTCATTATTGATCTTTACATATGACTGTTTTATTTTTAGTGCTGTAAGTTCTTTGTGGGCAGAAATGCATCTATTTCACTTCTGTTTCTCTAGTACCCAAGATGGTGCCTGATCCATAGTAGATCTGTTGGTAGGATGCACAGTTGTAAATGACAGAAAGTCAACTCAAACCGGATTCATTTTTTCAAATGAAATATATTGGTTGATTTACCTGAAAATCTTAGGGGTGAACCCAAACAACTTCAGAATGCTATCATTATAACACTCAGTCCCTAAGAAAAGAGAGATTCTTTGTAGTTTCCATGCATATTCTTTTATCCACTCTCATAGGCCTACATTGGTTCATTTGCTAATCCTTGTGTCAATGATTATGGTTCCAGGTCATGAAATGTTATGATTTCCTTATGCCCAAGTCATATATTCTATTCTTGGGGCCCTCTCCAGACTGCCGATACTAAAGGTGGGAACAAAGTGGTTCTTTCAAAGCGAAACTGGGAGGCTCAAAAGAGAGTAAGTTGAATTAAAATCTGTAAATGTGGGGACCAGCAGGTGATGTGGTGGTTAAGGCGCTAGACACTCCCACATGGCCAACCACAGTTTGAGTCCTGGACCTGGTGGCTTAAAATCACATTGGGCATGGGATGGCATAGCAGTTGCATCCCTGGCCTTCCACATGGGAAACCACGGTTCGAGTCCTGGACCCAGTGACTTCAAAATCAAAATCACACCGGGTGAGTGTGTATGTGACCAAGATCCTGGGAGGAGAATGGAAGACAGGGATTATGGAGTGACCATCCCTCTGCGGGGTCATTCCTTACTTTCCCTCTCACATCTCTGTCTCTTTCTCTCCGGCAAGTGCACACATCCTAAGGCAAAAATTTCTTTGAAAAAAAAAAAAAATCAGGCCAGGCACATGTACTCGCATGCCCCAAATCCTTAGAGGAGAGTGGAGGAGAAGGGATTGCAGCGTGGCCCTGCCCCGGTGGAACAGCACTGCCAACCACAAATCCCTCTTATCCAATCCTAACCCTTCTTGTCTGCATCTCAAGTCAGCCCTTCTTCCTGCTGTCAGTGAAGATGGGGAAAGCAATCTTTTATCTTCTGGGCAACCCTCCCTCCTCACGTCCCAGCCAATCGGTGTGGAGTGCCCCTTGGGTCTTCTCTGCAAGCCGTGTGACACCAGGTCCTTTGGCCTTTTGTGGTTGGCCTACTTGAAAAAGTCTTTTAGTCTTAATGACCATCATTGTCTCTTATTTATTTTTCTTCTCTGGGCCTGTGGAACCATCCAGAACCAACTTAACCTGTGTGGTCCCATGGGCACCTGATGCTATCTTTGTCTTTGACTGTAGTAAGCAGGGCAGAGGAGAACAAGATCATTTATTCCTCTGCACAATAAGTTTGCCAGGCCTCAAGTCACAGTGGAGACCACAGCTGGGATTAAGAAAAAAACAACTAATTTTCCATTCAGTGTCAGAACAATACCTATGGATTCCGCAACTCCCCACCTTCATATCTCCCCACCCCTACCCACCTACACCACCACCGTCAGAACATAGTTCAAGCTCCTCTTGCCAGCACCACCAAAAACAGTCTTTCAGAGATCCTGCCTCACTCAAAGCATTTCCATACATCCAGGAAGGCAGACCCGGAAAATGACAAGTAGGGAAGAAGTCAGCTTGCTCTGTCATGTTGCCCAGGGCCCGAGTGGCTCTGTAGAATTCCAACTCTCCTTTAAGACACAGCCTTGGGGCCAGGAGGTGGTGTGGCCAACTGCAGTTTGAATCCAGAACCTGGCAGCTTAAAATCACATTGGGCATGGGATGGCATAGCAGTTGCATCCCTGGCCTTCCACATGGGAAACCACGGTTCGAGTCCTGGACCCAGTAACTTCAAAATCAAAATCACACCGGGCGAGTGTGTACGTGACCAAGATCCTGGGAGGAGAATGGAAGACAGGGATTATGGAGTGACCATCCCTCTGCGGGGTCATTCCTTACTTTCCCTCTCACATCTCTGTCTCTTTCTCTCCGGCAAGTGCACACATCCTAAGGCAAAAATTTCTTTGAAAAAAAAAAAAAATCAGGCCAGGCACATGTACTCGCATGCCCCAAATCCTTAGAGGAGAGTGGAGGAGAAGGGATTGCAGCGTGGCCCTGCCCCGGTGGTGGTGGTAGTGGGGGGTGATTTCTCACTTTCCCTCTCTGTTTCTCTTTGGTTAGTACATGTGTCCTATGCCGAAAACCTAAAAACAAGCAAACAAACAAAAAGTCAGTGCGATGGTGTAGTCCGGGGAAAACGGTGTGGTTTAGAAATGAAATTGCCCTGTGATCTAGCAACTGCACGTCTGGGTGTTTACCAAAAGAAGGGAAAGCAGAGATGAAGTAGCTATCTATAGACCCGTGTCCATAGCAACGTTATTTGTAAACAGCCAAGGGGTAAAAATTACCCAACTATCTACTGCTGAC